TGCCACTCCACGCACACCACGTCCTTGCCACATATAGCGAAACGGGTAAATGAGTTTTTCCGAGTCGAAATCATAGCGATACAAATAAGTAGGCGCCTTTTTCGCATGCTGTAGGCGCAAATTGATAGTCTTTTGCAACGGATGCCAAAAGTACAAGTGACCCATCACCTGTGATAATAAAAAATTCACACTTGATATTAAACTGACTGTTTGACTTTAAGCACAGTGCCTAACGTTTAACTTACATCGTAAAACACCTCCAGGCTTGCGGTGTTGCCTTCGATGTATGCGGCGCGCAATTTCGAGGCTTTTTCCAACGCTTCAGGGCTATCACGTTGTGTGAACGTACCTGGCGGGAGCAAAGATGTGAAATTCTTCAATATTTGCTCTACGAATTCTGGCATGCCTGTTAAAACTGAAATCGAGTAAAATAAAATTTGTTATTACGTGTATGGTCGCACTTTAAAGGGTTTTGCGTACTTGGCTTAAATAAGAGTCCTTCACTTGAAGTGGAACCAAGCAAAAGTGGCACGGAATTGGACCAAGTTTGTGCGAATAACTCTTCAGTTGGCTTTAGAAGTACAGTATGCTGCGTCATATATGGCTCCACGCATGGGCCGAATGCTAACATTTCCATGCTATTCATATCTTCTGGAGTTAGGCAGTACTGTTGTGCATTTGTTATTTCTTCAGCGGTACACTGTAACAAATATTTTAAAATTTTTGGCTCATTAAAATCTCCAGTGTAGCCCGCAGCTTTGGCTAAGGCAAATGCACGTTTGCCCGTATTTCCAATACCCCAACTAACTGTTGCAACACCAGATTGAGCTATGGCACGATGAAAGAGACCTCTTGTTTGTTCGGTTAACATAAGTAAAGCAACTGAGCAGCCACCAGCGCTTTCACCAAATATTGTTATGCAGTCAGGATTGCCACCAAAGCTCGAACAATTTCGTTTAATCCATTTCAGTGCCAAAATTTGATCCTTCAAACCAGCATTGCCAGGTATGTGTAAGTTTGGATCTGTTAAACTCAAGAAACCTGTGAAATAAGGAATTGTATATATATGCAGACAATATTTGAGATATTTGGGAAGTAATGAGAGAAGAAAGAAGAGAAGGAAGAAGGGAAGGAAGAAGGGAAGGAAGAAGGAGGGAAGAAAGGAGGGATGAAAAGAAGGAATTAGGGAAAAGGAAGGAAACAAGAAAGAAAGATTTAAAGGAAGGAAGAAAAGAAGGAAGAAATGAAGAAAAGACGCTAGAAAGGGTAAATAGAATGAAGAAAAGAAGAAAGAAGGAGAAATGAGAAGGAAAGAATCAATGAAAGCCCAAAGAAAGAAAAAAAAAAGAAATCAAGAAGCGAAGGAATTCTAACCGTAAAGGAGTAAATGGACTAAATATGTTGATTTTGAAAATCAAAAGCCTTACAAAGAAATCTAATCTAATCACCACTAAGAAAGGACGGAAGAAAGGAGAAGAGAAAGGAGGAAGGAAGACGAAGAAAGGAAAGTATAAAAAAAAGAAAGGAGGGAAAGGAGGAAGAAAGAAGGAAGGAAGAATAGAGAAAAAAAAGTAGAAAAGAAGCAATGAAGAAGAGAAATAATTGTGACCATTAATTGGCCAGTAAATAATTTGAAAATGTCAATTAACGTCAAAAGTTTTATTAGTTAAAGTTTATCTAATCTGCATTATAAGAACAACTCTCTTACCTAAAGCACCCAAACGATATTGAACCGTTACCAGCACGACATCTTTTTTCATAAAATAATCAGGTGCATACCAATCACGTGAGGCTTCACCCAATCTAAAGCCTCCACCGTATATCCAAACCATAACTGGACGTGGTTTACTTGGTTTAATCTATAAAAAAGAGAATTGCAAAAAATTGATATGTTGTATTTTATTTTACATAAATTATAAAAAAATTTATTTTGTCTATCTATAGTAGAAAGACGTGACAATCGTGCTTTACATGCTGTACAAGTTTTTTGTTGCATTGATTGCAATTCTTACTTACGTGAAACCTGTAAAAATAACTTACATTATTTGTGTAGACATTCAATAATAGACAATCCTTCCGACACAACACTTCCTTCTTCAATCACATGCTGAAATGGTGACTCTCCAAAGTGCGTAAATCACGTATGTTTCCACGCACACAACTGGTTTTCGGGACGGATGCACGGAATCTTATTTCCCCATCTGGTGGTTGGTGCATAGGAATTTTCGAGAAGCTACAGTGATACATTGATAAATTGTACTCTTGTTGGCAACCTTTTTCTTCCCATTTGAGTATTTGACCGTGAAGTCTCAATCCTTTTAAACAGCATCTGCTAGCAAGTTGTGCTCTAGAAACCTGAAAAAAAAATAGTGGTCAACAGGTTAATCCGGAAAACTAAAAATCAAAGAAGTTTTATTTAATAATAAAATTAATAAATTTTATTTTTAGTTTAGTAGGATTGGATACGATCTGATTTTGATTCACATATTGAATTTGTAGAAATAGCAGACAAATAGTAAATACAATACTAGTAAATATAGTAAAAATAGTCAATAAAAAAATTTCTTTTTGATAAAAAGTAATTTTCAACCACTATAGTATCCATTAAAGTAATAAAGAATATTAAACTTAAAATTAAGAACATTAGCGATTAATTTCTGATTTATTAAAGACTGATATCATATTATTGTATACATATCTTCATATTATTTGATATTTTTACAATCTATTATTTTAAGTTTTCATAGGAGTTAATAGGACTTCTAACGTTCTGTCATTTTAAAGGACCTCTTTGAGGTCGCACGACTGTAGATTTTCCGGTCAAAGTTGTTCAGATTAAGCGGTGGTCTTCCATTCCTTGCGTATATTTGTATATTTTTTTATCAATTTACTTTACTTAAAGTTATTTTAATACCGATTTTTTTTTTAAATTTCGTCGTTACACCTTAAGTCCCATAATACTGCATTATATATAATGAATAGTGCTACATAGAGCCACATGTGCAGTCGCTATTGCTATGATTTCTGACCTTTCTCCAGGTATCCTACTTTTTGTGTGGATTTGTGTATTT